AGTCATTATATACCTAAAATGCAAGAATTTCGACAAATCTTAATCCGAATATTATGAAAATTCTTGGAAATGGGAAATATTAAACTTTTAAAATGCCGATAGATGTGCCTTTTATTTTTAGCCCCTCTATTAAAAATTTTTGGAGTGTAATTTATCCACAAATGTGAATAATTATTTATACACAAATGTGGATGATTTTTATCCACAAATTTGGAAATAATGTATCCAAAAATGTTGATAATTATTTATCCCAAATGTGGACAATTATTTATCCACATTTTTTTATAAATACTGTAGATAATTTTTTACCCACAACTGTTGATATTATTAATGCATAAATGTAGATATTTATGTATCCAAAAGTTCGGATAATTAGATTCTCTACAAGTGTGGACAACTTTTTATCCACAACTATTGATAATTATTTATCAACAAATGTAGATAAATATGTATCTACTAATATGAATAACTATTTATCCATTGTGGATAATTATTTATGGACAACTGTTGATTATATATCCACAATTGGTGTTAAATATTTATCCACTAAAATATTGGATATTTGTTATCCACAATGGTGATCATGGAGTAAAACACAATGGTGATCATGGCGTGCTTATGCGTTCGGGGATACTTATTTATCGACAATACATGACAATAACTTATCCACAAATGTGGATTGGTTATTACGCATAATTTTAGATTTATTCATCCCTATTTGAGGACTATAAAATGTCTGGAATATTGGATATTTTCTATCCAAAATCGGGCTCATAGAGTAAATCATGTCCTTCAGTTTTTTGCCCTATTTTTTAACTGTATACATTCCGCAAGAAGAGATTTTTTGGCATCCAAATATTCTACCAAAATGTTGCCCATCAGATTTTAGGTAGGGTCTCCAAAGACAAGAAATCGATATTCGTATATTTTCACCGTGGTTTTCCACGTTAATGCCATCCTTGCCCAGATAATTTATCAACGGTATAAATTCTTAATTATCCAAAATTTTAGAAGATTTCTGGGATTAATTTTCATGTATCAACACATGTTGATAATTTTTCTATTCAGGAAATTAACTAATTTTCTAAGTGGTTGGACATTTTTGATAAAGAGTAAATTTTTTTTTAATTTAATTAAACACATGAACTCACAATTAATTCTTTTTGTCAGTCATCTTTAGTTCGATAACAACGAAGTAATGGCTAATAAATAAATTTAAACACGTTCATGGAGAAGTGATAAATGATAAACAAAACAAAAAAAAAACAACTAAACAAAACTCTTGTGTCTGAAAAAAAAACGTAATGTTTTGGTTAAAGAATTTCACGTTTGTTTTGATTGGTGGGCGAAGCAATTCAATATTGTTTCTTTTAGATTTTACAATAAATTTTGGATTCTAGAACAAATTTGGCATATTTTTATTATTATTTACCATATTTGGAGTGTTTTGTAATAATTAAAATTTTGTTATTGTTCAAAATACACACACATACTCCATAAATAAAATTATGAATATCAAGTGTGTAGGTATGATGCCATAGGCAGTGTTATTGTTTTCGTCGTCGTCTTTGAACCAACCAGTGATTCACAGTTGAATAATTATTCATAGATTTGTTAATGTTCTGCATACATAATAAGTCATTTATGATTATTATTTATGTATGTACGTAAGAAATTATTGACACTTGATATAATAAAGAAAACAATAATGATTATTATTAGTTAGTAATCTTGTTTATATATAATATGGGGAAAGGGTGTTGCGTTTTGGAGAGAAGGATTTTTTTATTTTTCAGCGATACCTCCAAATATTCTTATGTAAACTTTAAATATTGTTTGTGGGTTAGTACTGGCTCGTAAGTGTGTGACAAGGCTGCCCTTGTGGAAATTCGTACGATAAGTGTGCCAAAGGTACTAAAAATTACAAATGGCTAAAAAACAAGAATATTGAAATTTTGTATTGGTGCGCAGGAGTGTGCATAAGTTTTTAGAAAATGCGTACTATAAAAGTATGAACAGTACTAAAAACTTGCTTCGTTATTGAACCAAAATACATACAAATAACTTTAAGCGTCGACTGGGCGTTCATGATAAACCGTTGTAATAGATGAAATTAACAAATGTACAAAATCGTACTAAAATTCGTTTCTGCGGTATCGGTATCTGCCTGTGTAAAATAAGAGAATGGAATGTACTATTTTACCACATCTAGATCAAGTGCAAATATGGGACCCATCGTTCCGCCGCTTCCGGTACCTCCTTCATAAAGTGTATAAGTTTACGAACATTGTTAATCCAATATCGTGCGAATGAAGTTTCCGATTTGATTCATAAATTTAACATTATAATATTTTACCAAACCTAGACCAAGTCCCCATAAAATGTAAACATTTAGAGCAAGTAAAGGGTCAAATTTTTAAACATTCCAATTGTATATGACGTCGTAAGAGATCCATTGCACTATGGCAGAAATTGTGATTTTAGCGGCATAAAATATTTTCCGACAACCTAGCTTCAACAAATTTCTCTGTGTAAAATGTTCGGGTCATAATTGTGGCCTCTAGAGCGATCAAAAACAGACAAAAATAAAGTTTTTGGTCCATCCCTAAATATTAACCCATCATTACAAAAAATAATATACAGAACCCATCCTACATGCACATACATGTGACGATTGGTCCATAACTGTGGCCTGTATCGGCTGGACAGACGGACACATGTCTATATCGCCTCAGCTTTTCGAGATATAACATGTATACTAAAAGGTGGGTCTTAGACCAATATTTCGTGGCGTACAAACTCTTGGGCCCACACAAACCTATAATACCCTGACAAAATAGTTGTGTAGGGTATAAATATACTCCTTTAAAACACACTAATTTACAAATTATTTTTAAAATCAACACCTTTTAAAATAAAAATCTACTCTGTAAGAATTATATTACAAAAATAAAAATAATATTACGTCTGTGATCTTAATAGATCTCTAAAAATTATTTTGATAGGTCATATAATCACTTAAAATGTCATTTAAAAATTATTATTACCATTAAACTTTCTTTACAATTATTAATCTTAACTAAAACCTTATAGAAAACCAATTCCCATCACGCCAAATACACACACTTATTCATTATGATACTCTTGTTGATATTGAAAATGTAAGTGAAGGAAAAGAAACAACAACAACAACGTTAGCCTCTGATTTACCTGACAAACAACATACTCAAATTCTTCAATGAGTTTACCTCTCTACTCGACTCCCGATCGTAGATAAAAACAAAACACCTACACTTCAAGCAGTTACCGGTTGGTTGTTCGAGATAAAAACAAGCCAATGTGCAGTGGGGCGGGCTACTGTTGTTATCTAGATAAACGTTAAATAAAAAAATAATATGACAGAATCTACCGGTAATGGTTTTATTGTTGTTATTATACGTTCAACAACAAAACACCTTTCTACTGTGATGACTCTCTTAACCCTCCTACGATACAACACAATCACGAACTAAGGCACACATGAGTCAATGTTCCAATCAAATCATAAAACATTTGTGTTTGAAAGGTGTGAAATATTTGAATGAAACAAAACCATATAATTTTTTTATGTATAAAAACTGGTTTTCGAAAAGTCACATAACAAACTTGTGATTTTTTACGGCGGCGGGTTCTACCATTAATCACAAAATGCAGATCACAAAATGTCTGGCAATGTTGGAATGTCAAAGAACAACAAAAAACAATATACAAATTTTAAAATATTTTGATAGTTATCATAAATCTGTGAGGACACACTGTAGTTTCCTAATTTTTTTCCTATTTTAAGTTTCATTCTTTTTTTAATTTTTTGTTGTGAATTTTTAATTTAATTTGTTGTCTTTTCATTCTGCTGCTTGTTGATTATTTGTTTACACAAATAATTTATTAATAACAATTTCTTTAATGAGTGTGTGTACGTCTGTTTTCTTTGGTTGGGTTTTGGGGTTGGTTCGCTTCAGTACAGCTGCTTGGTTGGGTTATTCTGCTGATAAAGCCACTATGCAGTTGCTTTACTAAAAACAACAATTCTTATCTGTTGTTGATTTTTTTGTTGTTCTTTGCGGTTTTCATTATTATTTTTTCTTGTTCGTATTATAAGTTTGATTTGTTCAGAAGTTTGTATTGTTGTTGTTTTTTCTGTATTTCTCCAATGCTGAACACATTTCATATTTGCTTTAAAATAATTATTTTATTATTAGAATGAATGCAATGATTCACATTTGGAAATTTCAAGGAAATCATGAATATTTTTTATAGTCGCTGCAGCGATGACAAATTTATTTACATTGAAAAGTAATTTGTATTTAATGATCTGTAATAAAAAACATGGGTAATGCATAAATAAAGATATACGTGGTATTGTATATACTATATTATAATGTAGTCATAATATTTTTTTTAAGTGTTTCCAAAATAATCTAATTTATGTTGAACTATAAAACAATGTTCCTTAAAAATCCTTGTTCTGTTGGCATCCAAAAATCATTACAGAGTTTGGCTGGGACTTATTATTGAAAATTACTTTCGAATTTTTGAACAAAATTACTTACAGTGAACGCTAGTTGAGGGTAATACTATTGGAAAAGTCAAAAAAGTTGCTGGACTGAACCAGTAGGCCATTTAGTTAATCTTGCAGGTTCACTTATAACGGACGATAGTGACAAGGCTGAAGCCTTGGCAACCATATGCCGGTTGTTTCGCTGACCAATAGCGGATCTGTAGAAAAATTCTCAGGAAGGCCAGTTAATCGGGTTAATGGGAATTTAAATTTCTTCTGCAGCTCTGGAGGGAACCAACAATCGTTCTCTTTGGTTCATATTAGCTGGATATTCTCTGTCAATGGGGCTTTTGTGGATGGATCTACTCATTGGAACGAGGTGGATGTGGGTTGAAGAACAGCACGTATACTGACCAGCACTGCTAAAGAAGGCAGGATAATCTCGAAGGAGCATTTCTGAAAAATGCTCGTATCAAATAGTAGCGATGAAGATGATACCACAGAACCAATAAAAGATGATTGTATACCACCTAGCCAAGCTGAGATCAGGATAGCAATTAAACGGCTGCAGAATAATAAAGTAGTAGGTACTGATGGATTTCCAGCCGAACTATTCAAGACCGGTGGTCAGATGCTGATCAGAATCATTCACCAACTGATTGGAACATGTCCAATGATTGGAACCTAAGCATCCTATGACCCGTGCACAAATGCTGGGACAAGGCGATATGTGCCGATTATAGAGGAATTAGTCTCCTTCCAATCGCATATAAAGTGATATCCAGCAACAGAAGCTAATGGTCAATATTATTGGCAAATCCACCATAGACCAGATTTTCACACTTTGCCAAATCCTGGAAAAACCCCATGAAAAAAACATCGACACATTCCACCTCTTTGTCAACTATAAAGGTGTTTAAAGCCATATCTGTGTTCGGAGTCGGCTAAAGCGAGACTAGCGAGAAGACCAAGCTGATACTACCCAAGCTGAGTACTTGCGCAAGCAGATGAGACAGCACTTGGAGTGTTTGAAGGAAAAATGCTCCGAAAGAACTACGACCGATCTGCGTCGACGGTGAATATCGTCGTCGAATGAACCACGAGCTATACCATCTACACTCGGACATTGTCAGACGTATCAAGCTGCAGCGACTACGGTGGCTAGGTCATGTTGTGAAAGTGGTAAAGTGTGCCCCAGTTCAAAAGACATATATGAGCGAGCCAACTGGTGGTTCACGCATAAGGAGAAGCATGGTTCACGCATATCAAAACATGGTCTTTCAAATTGGAAAAGCTGCGAAAAGCTTTTTTAAGCTCGGCTTTTATAACAAATGTTCTGTCTGGAGCCAGCTAATAACTTGGTACCAATTTGAGCCCACATTTGGTTTACCTAAATCGCGAAAGTTAGTATGGAAATAATCTCAAAATTGTTATTTCCATGCCAAATCGGACATCGACTCAAAACTAATTGTTATTCTAAAATATTTTTTAGTCGTTTTTCAGCTTGTGGGAAATATTGAACCAGGGAAATGTATTTATTATAAAGTTAAATAATATAATATATTTTTATTTAACTATACATACCCATTTCGCTGATTTCATATTTTCTGTGGCAATTTTTCTATCAATATTTTCGAATTTTCAATAAGAAATGGTCCCCATTAAATCAAACATACATTAAAACATTTTATTTTAAAATGATTGAATATCAACGTATTTTGAAGCATACTTTTAGGAGATGTGATTATTTTTTGATGAAGAGAAAGGGTTGTATTTTTCTAGATTAAATGTGCTTGTCGGGTGCTTTAGACTCTAGACTCTGACCCGCCGGCTAGACTTGCAATCCGTTTAGTGCCAAGACAAATGTATTTGAAATTATCTTCATTTAGCATAGGGTTTCCAACAAATCAAGATATTGTGTGATTTAATTTAGTATGGTAAGCTGAAGCGACATAAAACACTTAATCAAGATAAAAGCTATAGTCTAAACGCGCATTTAATTTTTATTAAAAGAGAGTAATAACTCAAACTATCTTCTAATAAACAAATACCCCTTTTTTGAAATTTAAAGTAAAAAGAATATTTTACATTAATTAATTATTTGTATCACACTAATTTCTTCCATTCTCTCCTTCTCATTACAGATACACATTATGATAATACGACTGTTACAAAAACACCGCTCTTCCCCAGAGATCTTTTTACAAAAGAACAATTGGAGAATGGTGCCGTAATTTGCCACATTATCGGTGTGATATATATGTTCGTAGCCTTGGCCATCGTTTGCGATGAATTCTTTGTGCCTTCCCTGGATGTGATCATCGAAAAACTAGGCATTACCGATGATGTGGCTGGTGCCACATTTATGGCGGCCGGCGGTAGTGCTCCCGAATTATTTACATCGGTTATTGGCGTATTCGTGTCATTCGACGATGTGGGCATCGGTACAATTGTCGGCTCGGCTGTCTTCAATATTCTGTTCGTCATCGGTATGTGTGCGCTGTTCTCAAGGACGGTGTTATCGCTGACCTGGTGGCCACTGTTTCGCGATTGTAGCTTCTACAGTGTTAGCCTGCTGGTGTTGATATACTTTTTTCGCGACAACCGTATCTGGTGGTGGGAGGCGCTTATACTCTTTTGCATTTACATTGGCTATGTGGGCTTCATGAAGTGGAACGTGCAGGTGGAGGGCTGTGTTAAGAAGCTGATATCGAAAAATAAGGTGACTCGCGTCAGAAGTACAGATCAGCTTATGCCAGCAGTAAGTAGTTGGGAAGTTTTTTTGATACCAAAAATGAAAAAAAATGATTGAAATCAATTGAAATGAAACATAAAAGCAAAAAAGAAACATCACGCGTTTGATGCTGTATTTTGTTTATATATGACAAAACCCGAAACCAAAAACAAATTGAATACGTCTTATTTGTCATATATTGTAACTGAAAAAGAACAAAACGAAATAATTGAAAATACACACAAATCAATTTAGTATCCTTTTAATTTTTATTTCAATTTTAGTTTTTTGTTCGTGTAAAGTTCCTATCCCCCAATAGAAAATAAATTATATTTAACTAAATGCCAGTATTTGATTTTTTTTTATTGACAAATTTATGAGTTTTTCTAGTTGATTTAATTTTTTTGTTTTTTTTTTATAAATTAATTTAAAACTTTTGAATATTGTTGTTTTATAAATAAAAAAACTGTTTATTTCAATTACATCCGTTATTATGTTTGTGTTTCGTTTTTTTAGTTTGATTTCAATTTTCTATTACGTTCTGTTAAACCAATTGCACTTTTTGGCTTAATGCATGTATGTGTAAGTGTTCAAATTGTTCATTTAATTTTGAAAATATAATTTTTAGTTTGTTTTTTCTCATATCTTTTGCATAGGTAAAAATCCATTTCGAATACATTCACACATTCAACAGAATAGTACACATATCAGTATAACACATTATGGTATATTGTGTCAAATTTGCTTAGCTTATATATTTACTATTCACTTTATTTGGTATTCTCATTAAATGACTTACATTAAATTTAGAGTTATATTTTTATATTTTAGAATAATGGATAAGGACTATGTGCTATATAGAAATTATTTACTAATATAGGAACAATAAATTCAAAGTTGTTAGTTTCCACGATGAAATGAGGAAATTCATACTCCAAAAATTAGTTAAATGCCGTGAAACTTACGTGGCATGTACAAATTATAAAAAAAATATTTGTATATAACATTAAAATAAATGTTAATTATACGTCTTATGTATAAAGGATCATTCTATCGAATTTATGGCCTTTCCCTTCAGCGAGTGGGAGAATTCTCCTTCATTCTCATAACATGAGAAACATTGCAGCAGATCCATACATCTGACAATGTCGATGTCCGAGAATAGGTGGTACAACTCAATTTCTAGCCCCGATTTTCCTCTTAGCTGGGAGCCATCTGTGTAACAGCATATTTGCTAGTGTTTCGCTATCCCATGAGTCCCAGTCTGCTATCGTAGTTTCACATGTTGTGACTACTCTTATTTCATTTCGGTTCGACTCAAAACTACTAACTGAGGATCCGATTGTGATCTGTACTATATTTTGGTGCGGTCAATTGTGTCGGCTGTCAATCCACTCTTTTTTAAGCTTTAAGACTTAAAGATATATGTTGGTCTAATAATGATCTTATAAATACAGTGTATCATCTTTGGATTTTAACCCCTTTTTGAGGCTACCGCTCTTCTGCAGAAGGACCTGCATCTGTGGTCTCGTTTCTGTGGTTCTGGTTCCTGCTTTCCATATAATTTTCCAGTCTAGGATGACCCCCAGATATTTAACTTTATTTCCTTAGATACTCTTATCAGTATTATTTTCAATACGAACGCAAAGAAAGGACCGCACACAATTTTTGGCACAGGAAATGTTCCAACGGGAAGAATACCTATTTCTTCCCTGTAGTATTTTCCATAGGAAGTCAAGAAGAGGTGCAAACACAATTTCATGTTATTACTATGGTTTATTATATTATAGATATTCTTCATAGAAAAAATACGTATAATTTATTTTCTACATAACTTCTATGTTGAAGCTATGGACATATGATTATTGCCATTACATATACCCATCAGTGTGATTTTTTTCTATTCCTCCGCCTATATAGAAATCTATTTGGCCTAAATTTAAAAAAAAAATAAAATATCATAGATATGTATTTTTAGTTAATCGAAATATTAAGTATTTAGTAAATGTGTATGTTGGATCTAGGTGCGTATTATTACTGTCATAACGTATTCGACTATATGGGCATTTTTTCTCTTTCCAATTATCAGTGCAAGTAAATGATTTATATTTAAATATCTTCTTTCATTCTAAACTACGAAAATGTTTTTTGCATTTTAAACGGCCATGAGGTACTCTTTCCCTCATTAATATTTTATTAATTTTTTATGTTGGATCTAGGTAGGTATAATTACTGCCATAACATATTCGCCAGTACCGGCTGTATCTTTTTCTTTTCCTATATATCTCTGAACGTAAATGATTTATATTTCAAATAATCGTCCTTCTTACTAAAGTGTGAAAATGTTTGTAATGTTGAATATTAAAGGAGCTATGTGATACTCTTTTCTTCATTCTTTTCAATGCAAAAGCACTAAGATTCCGAAATAACTCTTGAATTATTTTTATTCACTTTCCAGTTCCAGTTCGCTCTAGAAACGATTTTTTATTTGGGAACTAATACACCTTATTCATATAGCTAATAAGTCCACCTTATTCATATAGCTAATAAGTCCATCTTTCTAGAAGATTATGTTATATAGATTTTAACCCTTTTAGACCCACCTCAATTAATTGTAAGATCTGAGAATTTATTTTTTATAAAAAAATTTGTATTTTATCCTGTTGGTTTTGTATTGCTTTGTTATCTCTTTTGGGACATAGAAAATTAAAATAAATTGGGAAAGAACTTAATGTTTGGCACCGGGTTAAATTTTTCTACAAATATATCAAACAAATTTTTAATCTCGGTCTGAAAGGGTGAAATGATTATGATTTATTTCATCTAAATTGTCATAAATATGCTGCTAAGCGAATCTACATAATAACAATGTATTTATTTATTTATTACGTTGAACTTAGGAGCGTATACATATTGCCATAACGTATGCGCTACCATGTGCGAGTATTAGTTTTCTTTTTGCAATAAATCGACTTTTCTCCTCTAATGCGCAAAATTAGCTTATTTTCGCATTTTACAGAGTCATGATCCACAGAACAATTATTTATTATTAGAAGAATAAGGTTAAGACCTTCAAATTCCTAATATATATCGATTTACAGGTCTATTTAAAGGTATTTTAAATAAATAATGATATAAGTCAATAAAAATACTTTGACATCAAAAATATTTGTTGATTTTGAATTCAATGTAGTGCTCTGTTTTTCGTACTTACATAAATTGATATTCAAGATAGGCATTGTTAAAAAAAGAAACCAAGTAATCCAATAAATTCCAATGGTTTTTTCAAAAGTTTTTGTTTTACAATAACCTCTAAGGTCAATTAGACTTTCATTCCATTTTCTCCCCATCTCGACACTTATACACATTTCTTCAATACAATTGATTTTATTTTATGCATTTTTTCAACTATATCTGTACCTCATATTCAGTGACTTAATTTCCTATTTCTTAATTATATGAAATATCCATCCCAACAAAATTCACTATTTTCGAAGTTGCAAAAATGTGATAATTATAATAATTAAATAGAAAATGCAAACTACATAACAAGTGCCACAACTTCTGACAAACGAAATGAAAAAAGCAAAATAACTTAAAAAGTAGCGAAAATAGACAGGCGAAACAAAAAAGAAGAAGAAGAGGATAAAGTAAAGAAAAGTTCATAGAAAATGTAGCAGCGAATGAATGCAATTATTTGAAATAATTAAATAAAATGCTGGCAACACCCAAAATAACAAAAAGACGGGGACGGGCAACGTACGAACTTTTGTTCCTTCTTTAAGAAATAATTTCAGCGCCAATTGGAAGACGGGGGTAGGGCGAAGAAGAATGTAGATTTGCCACTATTTTATATGCCAAGAAAAGTTTTGAAAAGCGGAAAATTGAAACATTTGGGGGAGAGTGTGAGAAGCTTAAGAAATATTTAAAACTTATTTCTTAAGCAACAACTTAAATACAAGGAATGGTAATTAGACTCGCCCTCATTCCAGCAATTCAACTGGCAATTACAGATAGTATGGGGAGTGGCAAGGGAAATGGAATTGGGATGATAGAGATTTGGTCTGTCAAATTAAATTTAGTAATGACCCAGATCTTAGAAGACTAAGTCCATAACCTTAATATTATTAATTTTTTAGAAGGTTTCTTAGGCATTACTCATTTTGAAAATACCTCGTTTATTAGCAAGAGTTATCTTATGCGGTAAAGATCTATAATACCTAATCCTGGGTTTTACTAAATACGTAATAGGGGGTGTATATAATACCAGACTCCGAAGAACGCATGAACAAGTATTTGCTTTGCAATTTTCCGTCATTATGCGGAGATTATTTATAGTACAACAATAGTTTCTGACATATACTACCATTAGGAACTAATTTTTAGAAGACAAATACGCTTATGTCCTAGAATTGTAAAATGACTTATTTTTTATTTTTTTAACGATATTGAAAATATGCTCAAAAATACCAACCTTGTTAATATGACTTACAGCGACTTTCACTTACAGCTATTAATATACCTTCGGTATAAAAAGGAATTCGACTGTAGTTTTTATGTTGGATCTTGGAGCGTATAACTACTGTCATGACGTATTCGCCTAGGTGTACAAGTATATTCATTTCAAAATAAATCTTCTCTCTAAAATGCGAAAATTTTGAAAAAAAATTTTAATTAAGTTATAATAACTTAATACGTAATCCTGGGTTAAATGAAATATCAAATTGGGCAATGCCCAAGAACGCATGAAGAAGTATTTAAACTCTGAAATCAAAATAAACAACTCACGTTTCATCTTAGATGTGGCCTGCAATAAATGTAAACTTACCATCAGCAAAATAATAATGCATCACGTCAGAACTTCAAAATTTGACCTATGGCCTTCTACCACAGGCTTTATCTCCCAAAGGATTTTTTTACAGCCTAAATCCTTATTGCACTGTGTGTATTATGGCTAAGAGTATAAAATATAATATTGTTAAGTTCTTAATGCTATTCAATACTGGCCAAATCCAATAACTAAATAC